AAGATCCTTTATGAGCTATATTGATTCAGTGACTGGAATAATGAGGTAGAGAGATTGGCACAGGTCAGAGCAGGGTTTCAGGTTTGTACATAGGGTCAATATGAGTAGCAGGCAATTCGACGGCACATAACAAGAGCATGAGAATATAAAATTATTTGACTCAATGCTCTTTCAACGAGTTATGTGTCTCAGTGAAAAAAATAGACATGGCAGGAAGAGTTACAAGCATACACATGTACATCATGTTCTTAACACCATTGCCTATGTTAGCCAATAGATGGGAACAATCTTTGTATCCCTCAGGACATAGATGGGTAAATAATCATGACACAAATACACTATGAAGCACCCTTAAAAGATAATGAAGAATGTGATAAATAGTGAGATATGGATTATTATAGGGAAAAGAAGCTTATTTACCTAAGTTATCACAAAGGGAAATATATGAGACCACTACTGTGAAAAGTTAAGGAAAGGTTTCCACACAGAAGGAAACATTCTTTAATGGTTACCAGGGATAGGAAGGGAGGTGTATGGGAGATAGAAGTTAGTACATTGGTTGTAGTCCACTTTCCTCAAGGTGATTCCACCTCGTGGATACTCTCCTGGGGTTCTGAAGCTGTAAGTTTACAAGAGGAGCCAGCCTTGCCTTTTTTTTTCCACCAATATTTCAGTGAGCAGCTCAGTTATGCATTATGCAATTACATATTCCTAAATAGATGATAAACACTTCTAAAGTTAAATGAAGATAAGGTATATCAAAGAATGGAATAAGCACTCTAATACTAGTAAAAATAAAAAAAAATTAAAAAAACATCTCAAGACTTGTTCACGTTATAGTCAAGACTCTATGTTATATAACAAAAGACTCTGTTTCCTCCGGAAACCCTATGAACCTGGAGAGAGGATGAAAAGCAGGAAATTGTCGAGGACTCTCCTTCATAGGGTCACTATGAGTCACCTGCTACTCGACGGCACTTAACAACAACAACAACAACAACAACAACAACAACAAACAATGTAAGGAGATGAAAAGATTATAAATTTGGAAAGGAGAAAGAAATTACACTCATCATCTTACATACATTTGAAGTCAGTATGCCGCAGGATAGATGTACACACTGAAAATATATGCATAGAAATAGTGAAGCCATCAGGGCGCACCATAATGTAAGCTTCTTCACCTTAACCAGAGGCCCTAAGGGAATCTGTTTCTGGTCAGGTCCTCAGGGCCATAGTCTCTGGAGTTTTTCTAGATATCACATTGATAGGTATTTAATGGTGTCTTAGAAACTTGCTAGTGATTTTCTAAAATGTAAGTAATGGCCTTTACCTGTATGGGAAAAAGAGTAATGAAGAACACTGTTGTTGCAATAAAACAATTAGTCCATAATAGTATCCCTGCCCATTAAGCCCAAATTCTGTCATCCTGAGGAGAATACAAATAGATGTCATCTGTCTACCACTGCTGACCACTTTGAAAGTATTCACATTAGAAAATAGTGAAGAGACTGTGAGATAAATGAGAAAGAAACTAAAAAAATCACAAAAGTGATCAGATTACCTTTCTGATAGACATACGATAGACAGTCATCAACCTGATAAAAATTATTTGAACTCATCCTATTGGTTCATATTTTAGGCAAACAAGGGTAATATGAAGAATGTCTACCCTCTTAGAATAACCCACTATTCAAGACCAAAATGGTCGGACTTGCTGAGATATAAAACTCAGAAGGAAGGAAGAAAGAGAATACAAAGATAAACAGAATCCAGGATCATGGG